TGGTGGTTAAGAGGTCTTAGAAGTTGTAGATGCAAATAGCCTTGCATTGTTACCATTTGATATAAATGATCGCAAACATGAAATGAGCACAAAGACAATGTACGTGGTCGATGATGACTGTGGACACCTCTTTGAGGAAAGACAAGAGACATTAAATAAAAGTTATTAACACAATCATTGTCAAAATTATAAGGCGAATGAAGTTGAAGCCGAAGAAAAGTTAGGGACGAAAATACAAAATTGTGATGGAGAAGCACGAAAAACGTGGTATATTGTCTAAGCAATCTATGAAAATTGATGAAGGTAGGGAAGTCCCTTACAAAAACTCATGCAGAGAAGTGGGGAGCATGATTGTCGTACCTATATCTTCGTAGTTTGTTGAAAACAACCATCTTTGTTCAAGATTCACCATATCAGTTGTTCTCCATCTTTCAATAATCAAATATTTTTTTTGACTTAATTTTACTTACGTTTTCGTAGCATGTGTTCGCAATTGTTAGATATGAAGCAAGAAGCATGCCAACGAGAAAATTAATCATTGCTTATTACTATTTTATTATTTTTCACCAATGGATTGATCATTTATGAGTCATATAAGATGGGTAAACATTGTCGAGCTCATCAATATTATTCTTGGTAGCCAACTCCTCGTTGGCGATTATATGAATATTTTGTGGAGTTTGACCCGGGGTGGTCGGATTTTATTTTGATCTTGTGTTATTGGATGTATCTAATGATGATTTTTATTATTTCAGTTATCATTTCAGATTGGATATATGTTCCTGTCGACTACGGTTAATTCTTTATGATGTGAATATGTGTGGGTGTTATAACGTTTTTTTGACTAGTGTCTAAAGAGACTGAGATTGAGTTGGGGGTTTCACGTTTGGTTGAGACCATCATAGTCAATCGGTGTACGCTTTGTACGTAGGAAATCAACGCCCTAAGGGACGAACGATGCTCGGGGCCGCATGACGTTAACCAAACGTATTTATACTACAACAAACGAGCAAACGCCCTCGGCTGACCTACCGCTACGATTGTATTTAAAAGTTTTCGCACGTGGGTCAGTAGCTCGATAGGGACACGCCCCTAAGGGTGGTGACAGCCCCTTAGGAAAGGTCAGTTATGCCCCGCGGGAACCTATTCTGTCGAATGGGACCTCGAGATGTACAGCTAGCCCACCTGACTAGAGCGACAAAGGGACGACGAAACCTTGACGACTTGCGGGGTTATTTATGCATCGTCCTAAGTTGGCTCTGTTTTTGTTTTGTTTTGTTTACTCCTGTGCGACATGGTCGAGAAGACTCTCGCCTTTGTAAAAAAAGGCGAGGGCCGATGCAATCAACAACGTTATCTTGAAATTTGAAATGTCAATAGATGTCAAAGACGTGAGCGTTATTTACTTGTGTGATCTGTTTCATGGTGTCAACATTGCGAATGACCAATATATGTGGGGCGACAACAATCAAGCCAATGCTTTTGGGAATCCTCGACACTCTATACCTTTTTATCAATTTTTCATGCCTCAAGCGGTATGAAGTGTATCCAGGGCTGCAACAACAATCTTTGTAGTCTGACAAATATTGCCTCTCAGATATGTGGTTACCCTTGCTAGGAAGTTAATTAATTGATTGTTCCTTTTACAATGTGCTTGGAAGTGTGAAAGTCCCGACTACAAAAAATATATGGGGGACTTCCCACGTTTGAAAATGTTGTACTTCCCCCGAACTAGGAAATGTTTGAATACGTGGTTAACTAGGGGTGCTATTTTCGACGAATTTTCCACCGAATTGCACTGAAACTGTCATATTGTGCTGATTCTTTGCTTTTTTTCTTGTTTTTTTTTTTTGTGTGATATATATGTGCTTTAGGGTACGTCATGTGTGCAGTTTTGACACTTTTGGATCAATAATGAAAAATTTGGCATTTTGTTGAATTCGTTGGATGCTTCATTTTGACTCAGACAGTGTCTTTGTGTTAGGGTTTCATAGTGTTTTTTGTTTTTTTGTTTTTTCGTTCTTTTTAGCCTGTTTCCTTTTTTGATGTTTGCACTATGGTCTCATATCGTTTGTTTTTAAAAATTTTAATGAAATTCGCACCGCAATTGCCAACGAAAACGGCGAATATTTGGGACCCCGTTAACCGTCTCTCGAAGCGTTTCCTGAAATATAACACCCAATTTAGAGGGAGGTTGTAAATTTTCTTGTGCAACGAAACAATTGCCTCACCCCTACTCTTGCCGTTGGGCTATCGCACAAGGAAAAATAGACTGTTAGTGGAGGAGTATTCGACAACTGGACGAGTGGAAACGCCCTCCATAGTTGTACAACTTGAATATACAATTTATGGATATAGGTTCCCCAAAACGTCATGTGGAAGTCTGCGAAATTGTGCGGAAGCATATGAAATCCACGTCTTTGTCCCACTTGTGAATTCAGAGTTGAGATTTCAACAAGTTGGGGCGTTGACGAGTTGAAGTAGATAAGTGGAAGAGGGTTTCCGGGATGACTGACAAATTGAGGGTGAAGTTAGCACGAACCTGGTCTGCGTTTTTCTGTAGAGTTCATGCTGAAGGCCTCCTTCGACAACACTAAAGAAAACTTGAATTTATAAGAAGCATTGTTTCACAACTTGAACACCCCAACGATGACGATTTTTAAGTCCAAAATATTTTTACATCGCGGACTTGTAGGGTTTGCCCTAACTTTTCAAGTGCGCTTCAACCAAAACGATGGAAATTTGTAGGGCGCATCGAGAGGTTACTAAAAAAGTTATGGTTGGACCTAAAAGTATGCATAAAACATAATTCCCCCCCCCCCCCTTCTTGGTAGCGCCTAGTTCACCACCTACGTGCCCTTTCCATAAGCTACAAGTGGTCCTGACACCCTATCGTCGACACCTGAGTCTCTAGGACGTCCATCTCAAGGGTTTCGTTTAGGGGTCGTTAAACTATAAAATAGGTTAGGGGAAATTAATCACTTTTCCCGATTTAGGGTCTTGTTACATACTCATAAAAAATGCTAGTTTTTAGGCTAGTTTTTATGATTGGATTGTGGTTAGAAGCTTTATAAAAATGAATCGTGAAGAAAAATATGAAAACAATACAAGGAGCGTTCCTATTTTTTTTTAGGATTCCCCAAGCAAATCGACCAGTAAAATAAAGCTCCTTTCGGGGAGCTTTAAAATTTGGGAGTCGTGTTTGCGGAGCTTTGGCGACGAGTGCAACACATCGATGTCCAAAAATCTGTAATGCAAAGTTGTCCGTGGGGCCATTACGCGAGCATTGCAAACCTTCGACTGCGGGACGATGGCAATGACAAGAACTGGTAGCCGTTGGGGCGGTAGGGAGGGGGGGGGCAGGGCAAATCTTGTAGGGGACGTCATATGGTGTTCTGCCCCCCTGTAGTCCACCGTTGGGTACAAAAGCCTTGCAGGGGGAGAATGGGTGGTGCGCCGATGCGGGTGGAGAACAACAGCCCTCACCGTCAGCACTACCGCATCCCGCTCCGCAGAAGACAACATATGGCCGCTGCCACCAACATCGACCTCCATCTTCACCCTTGCACCCGTGCTCGACATCGGCGTCGCCCGCCTATCGTCACCGCACCTGAATGCATCACATGCCACTCGCCTTATTGGGATTCAACATGCGAAACACAACCACGATCCGCACCCCTGTATGCCACAGACACAGGACGATGATGGGTGAACATCCGCGGCGCGGGTCCGTATACACATAGGAAACTGGCCGCGGGATGCCATTTAGGACTCGTCCTAAAAGCTGTACTTTATGATTCTTCTAACCAAGACATCATGAATCCTATAAATCTTTTAGCATTGGTCCTAAAATTTATGGTTATATGTGCTAGAAACCCAGTTCATTCCGTTTTGTTTCTCATTTTAGTATTTTGTAATACTTTCTAAGATTTTTTTAGGACTGTCTAACGAGACCCTTCGGGCGCTCTAGAATCTCTAGTATTTCTAAGTGGTGTCTCACGAGGCCTCGTTAGAGACCACGACACAACACTAAAAATCGATGTTCGGCACCATTCCACTCCGCACTAGAGTTGCACTGATCACCTTCATGTCGTGATGAAGAGGTGTCTACACTAAAAATCTATGTTCGGCACCATTCCACTCTGCACTAGAGTTGCACAAATCACCTTCACATCGCGGTGAAGGTTCAGATTTCCTCTGTGAGGACACCACAGAAATTTACCAAAAGGTGCAAGCCCCTCATGAGGTAGTTTCAGGTTTGTTAAGGTTCCCCATGTTTTTTTTTTTTTTTTTTTTCAAGCACAATTCTGTTCCCGACGCGTGGTCCTTTTATTCAGGGTGGAGTGTAGGGTTAGGTTTAGGTGGAACGTGTACCGACTGCGGTAATTTTTAGTCACTATTACAAGTGTGTTGCGGGTGTAGTGCTGCACTTGAGTTTCAAGTGTAGTGGGACGAGCCCCTTGACCCCAAGATCATGAAATAAGGCGCGGCCCAAGCATGTGTCGCGGTGGCAAGCGCCCTCCGTATCTTTGGCTTGGCCGCGAGACCTGTGAGAAAACCTGCCCATACCGGGAAAAAAAAAACAAAAAAAACACGGTGAGAAAAAAGATGAGATGGCGGTCTGGGGCGAACTCCACTTACCGTCATTTGCAAAGATGAACGGCCAGGAATAAAGACTGCCGCCCAGGAAAAAAGCGGGACCTTGCGTCTGCGTCTTCCAATCTGCGGAGCGACCTCTGGGGACGCGCGGTGTTGGCAGGGTGAATTGTTTAAACGAGGATGGAGTGTCCCGCGCCCACAAATTGGGGTCGGATACATAATCCGTAGGCCGTCCTTGAGGTCCGATGCATTTCGGAGAGTCCCACGGGGTGAATACCGCCTCTTCGGTGGCTCTCAACCATTTCCTCCTTTCTTCAAATCAAATTTTCAGCGCCGCTTTTGGCGGCGAAGGGCTGCAATTCGATTCGAAGGATTTGGAGCGAATGGTACTGAGGACGAGGCCGCCACGGTAAGGGGGGAAAAAGAGGGAGGGGGACGTAGAGCGGCATATCCACCACACGAGCGACTGATGCCGTCGGTTGGTTGGTCTATCAGCCGACAGATTGATTGATTGGTGGATTGATCGGGTCATACGATCCTGGACTGGATACGCGGCTAGGGGGTGGTCGGCATAATGCAGTAGGCAGGGGAAAGATATTTATTTGGGCGGGGAGTGGTGTTTTTTTCCCGCGCCTGTGCGAGGGCGGGCGACAATCCGTGGAGCCTGAAATAGGAAAAAAAGAACGTGTAAAGCCGCTGGTGAAGCCACGTGGCCGCTAGCTGACACGTGTACGGGCGTAGAGGGCGAGCTGCCACGTCAGCAAAATGGCGGGCAGTTTGACCTCCGTTCAATCGCACAGCTTGTGCAAAGGTAGACTCGGGCAAGTCATCATCGCTGAGGCGTCTGGATCTGGACGGGAAACGTGGCATCATTCTGGTTATGGCTGCCGTCGGTTCTCTAGCCTCGCTGGCGGCGCGGGGATAACACGTGTCATCCAGGAAGGGACCGTGGCTGCTAGCAAGAGGATGACGGCATGGCAAAATGGCGGCCAGATTCGATGGACGGCGGGAAGGTCGGCGGGAAAAGGCGCAGAGAGGGGGCGAAGGGGAGAGGCGCTGCCGCCTGCGTCGGGACTGGGATTCGCAGCAGTGTTGCGGCCGATCGGATGGCGCGCACAGCGGTCGTCGGGTCTGAGAGGATTACGTACGACCGGTACGCGGAGAAACAGACTGCCGCTGGTGATCATGGAAGCTGGTGGAGGACCGGCAGGCACAACTACCGGTACGTGCTCGGGGTGGTGGGCGTGGGGAAGACGGCTTGCTGCCAGTGACGTGCATGCATGCACGTCACATGCATGCGGATGGTTTATTTATTTTCTTACCACTGTTTTTTTTCCGAAACTCATCAAGGGATTTTTTAAATTATTTTTTTTCACACTGTCTTTTTTTTTTTTTTTCGGGAAAAGATGAGTTTCTCCTTCATCAAAGCAAAATCTCAGAGGCCGCGAAGCTATATATGGTTTTCATTTGTTACTTCACAGCTATGCAATTATTGTGATTTTAATTTTTATTTTTAGCGTTATTATCTCTTGGCTTGAACTTCAGTTCCACACCCTCCGATGCACTACTTCCATCATATATACCATTTATCCAAATTTGAAATTAGCAAAAGACAAAGAAAAAAACACGATCCCAAGATTCGTACTTTTTTTTTTTTTTTTCAAATTTATTGAAAAGAAGCCAAGTGTCCCAGGCTGAATTATTATTATACAAGATACCTGCTCTTTGCGTCGATACCGATAGACCATGCATGGAAGGGCGCGCCTTTTTTTTTTTTTTTTTTGTGCCACGTACTCTGATAGCGCACTGAAAAGGAATAGAGAATCGTTCCAGCGCCCAAAAGAAATCAACTTTTTTTCTTTTTTTTTCTTAATGTTTCCCTGATTGGGGTAACTCCCAACCTTACTGGATTCTTATAGGATATGAATTCTTGATGCCCGATTTTGAAGAAAAGCTTTGTTTCGGGGGGGGGGGAGGAACTGTTATGCGTTTTTTTTATACACATCTAGATGTGTATAAGAGACAGCCATCTACCTCCTTATTGGGGGACGAACTGGGGGAGAAGTGTCCAACATAAGAAGCAAAGGTTAATAATAAACGTCTAACGTTATAAGAAGCAAAGGTTAATAATAAACGTTTAACGTTGTAAGCAGCAAAGGTTAATAAACGTCTGACGTTGTAAGAAGCAAAGGTTAATAATAAACGTTTAACGTTCCGCGGCAGAGATTCGAGGCAGAAACAAGCGTCATACTATCCGATCA